TCACCAATGAGAAAGCTATAACTATGCATGCCAATAATCTAAGTAAGTAGTAAATTGATGGTTCAGAACACTCTTATAGGTATCTTTTTAATTGTAATTTTTTTAAAATACATTTCTTGTGAAAAAGATGAAAATTAAAGTACAGATTATTTTCTTAGGACAGAGAGAAGGGACATCACTTTAGATGAACAGGCACTCAGACCTGCCTGCAACCAACTCTTTCCTTTTAGTTTTGCAAATATCTTTCAAATACAAGTGGGTAATTATAAGAGAAATTAATACTGAAGTCTACTGGCACTTTGGATCTTACACGACATTCAAAAATATGATTTGGTCAAATTAAATTTACACTGTTTTACAACGTATTAAATTTTAAAAATACATGTTTTCTGTGTGCCAGCAACCCTTAACCAGGCCAGGAAAAAACACAGACAACAAGATCCAAGAGACTAACAATCCTAGAACCCCTTTATATGGAAAAGAGATTATCATTTAATTAATACTTAGTTCCATGTCATCTTCACATTACTAAACATGATGACAGGTGTCTTAATATCTCCTTTGAATTGCTCCATTGGCAAGTAAAAGAAAAAAGTTTCTCCTCATGAAAAAGTAATTGCAGTTACTGTTAATAATACAAAAAATCCATGTCTATATGACTTTAATTCCACAGGTGAGTTTCCAGGAGTCTACACTGCACTCTGCTATGACATAGTGGACTGGGAAGAAAGAGAGCAAGGAAAACCTGAGTTGGCAGTAATGCCACTTCAACTATGTACCCTCCTTTCCAAGGGTCTTTCAGTATGTCTGTAGAACGAAAAGTAATACTGTGCAAAGGAGCATTTCATATTGTTGTTCCCACTGTTATGTATTCACTTGTAAAAAATATTAAAGAAACCACATTTTAAAGATCCTTACTGATCCCCTTGTTCAACGTATAGCTAAATACGGTATTGCAAATACATCACTGGTATTAACTACAAACACAAACCCAGAAATTACTTTTTACAGATATCTGGGCTAAATTCATAAAACTTCACAATTCACATTACTGAATTTACAGGAAACACACAGAATGGCGAAATCTCTTAAAAACAGCTTTAAACGAAAAGAAAGACTTGTCTTCTTCCAACAAAGTCCACTTTCAAGCATGGATATGTACTGCCATAGCAATGCATACAGTTATATGCACTATACTTCAAGGCAGTAAGCCATTTTAGGCTAGAAAAACATATATTTTAATGCTTACAGCCACAGAGATCATGCATGGCTGGTATCAGCTGTGGCTCTCTGGGAATCCTAACTCTACCATAAGATCTGTTGTCTCTGTCAGCCTATGTATTTCATGCATTTTTTCCATTTAAGGGTTCCACCCTCTCAGTTTATCCCCCTGCTCCTTCTTTGTGTGGATTCATTTCCCCCATCTACAGGGACTGAGAACATCAGTCCTGTGAGCTCATTGTCCTAACCAGATCTCTCCTTTTTCAGTATCTTCACAGAATATACGCATGACACACTGGTTCTGGTATGTCACTGGCGCAATGTGAATAAAATTGGTCATTTCCAGTAACATTTTGGAAGTTCTCTCTCTCTCTGTATAGTAACCGAACTGATCTTAGCTTGTGCCAAATGTATTCCATCCTGCTGCCATGCACTCAGTGACTCCTCACAGCCCACTGCTGCCAACCCTTACTCCTCCTTACAGCTCTCCCTTGGGGGCTCAGCACACAGCAGCGGAGGCCCCAGAGAAGGCAGAACTGGAAAGCATGGTCAGCTCTGAAGCAGGAGCCTCCTTGTATTCCTCTTCTCACTCATTTCAGCAGGCAGGCTGTTGCTGCTCTTGTTTCCTCAACCCCATCACTGTTGCCACATCACACAGCACCGACAGGGACAGGAGGCCTGTCTGGAAGAGGCTGGACACTGTGAGGAACCGATGGCAGCAGATCTGAGCTTCTTCCATGAAGACCAGAAGCAGAAGAAACAGCTGGAGATGCTCTCTAGGTGGTGCCAGGTCTGAGATCCACAGATGCACAGCTCTCAGTTGTGCCAACCACCGGCTCTGAGCCTTGTGTCATTAATGGAATGCTCATTAAGATTTCCAGACAGAAGCACAGCCATGGGATTTGGTGTGATCAAATCTGCTCCTACAATTTTTGGATCATTTGAGAATCAGCTAGAAGTGGTAACAGAAATGAATAAAGCTCTGCCTCATGCTCCAGCCCCACAACAAAATAACTGACAAGAATAACTAATTAGCATAAACAACAACATATTGAATCCTGAAAATGAATTACTCTTCTGGGTTTGATTCCCTCCCATGGATGCTACTGCACTTAGACGCACCCAGGAGCAAGAGAACTGCTGAGAAAATTCTTCGGGAACCTCTATGATTAATATTCCACAGTTAAATAATTTTTGGCACTATGCACTCAATTTTGATCATTAGTTTTGGCAGCATAATTACCTAAACTCTCAAAGTCATTTTATAAACCACATGCAAAAGTAGAAAGACCAAACCTGTACAACCTTATTTTTTAATTTCTTCAAGGATAATAAAGGAAGAACATAAAAATTCTATATGCATAAAGGCCTGGTAAGGCCAAATGAATGAGGAAATGTTAAAAGGAGAAATAAAAGAGACTGCCAGTGGACATTCAATATTATAACTTAAAACTCCACCTGGTAATGACAACTGGATCATAATGGACAGCTTTTCATGCATCCTGTTTTGTCTGTAGAAGAAATGTTAGCACATTAATCTGTTCAGTGGTACAGACAGAATAATGTCATTTTTTAATTAATTTAAAACAAACAGGTATGACTTTTGCTTTCTAACAGTGAACAGCTTTACCATCTCTCAAATTTTAAATGGTGTTACATTTTTAAGTTCTGATGTGAAAGTTGAACAACACTTTTACACTTTTGGACTGCTGCCTCTGTATTTCGAAATTTCCATTTAAAAAGTTTCTCTGTTTTGATTTTCACTGCCAAGTTCACACTTCTCAAACAGAATACAGTCAACTTTAGTTCATATTCAACTTTTTTTCTGGCTCCCTTTCTACTTATGCACTGTGCAAACATCCAGCAATTTCTTGGAAGAGCACATAAAAATTTTAGTATGACTTGATAATTATATGTTTCTTCTGGAAAAATTAGTTTCATTTGAATAATGTAATTTCTCATTTTCAGACTAAGTAAATTATAATTACACAATGGAATTTAATGAAAAAATCTCCCTTGAGCAAAAACATTTTCTGATGCATAAAGTCCAATAAAAGTACAAGAGAGAAAAAAGGTATTTTCTTGTTTCTCCCGCTGCCTTCTTACACAAAAAGCCAATTCTGGACCATTATTACATGTTTTATCTATAAATTATCTAGCTTAGCCTTAACTGCATTTCCACTAAGGCCCCAGGAATACCTCAGAAAAAGTATCACAGGACACCATACATCAACATGAAGTTCACTTTCTCGTACTTCCTTTCTTGCTAACCATGGTTACATCTTCTCAACACTTAGGTTGCTGCTTCTCCTCTGGTTCTCTCTAGCCTTTGAGCTGGTTTAAGTGATAAAAGATCAGAAAGAATATCTGAAGAACAAAGCAAATTTTTTTCTACCTTATCAATGAGCTAAACCGGCTCAACAAAAGATGTATGAGATTCAGAAATTACTAATATCATTCACAATATACACCATTATGTCTGCAGTTGTCCTAGTATTTTGGATTGCAAACAGCACAATTTTTACTCTTTAAAAAACCCATAATTTTATTTTTCCATAATTCACACCATTGACTGGGTAACTACATAAACCTTTTAGGCAAGCTGGTCATTAGAACATGGAAAATTAAGTACCCTTCACTGAAAAAACAAAACTAACCAGGGAATTTGGAAGAGATGCACATATTCAGTAACTAACATTTCTGGAAATGGCATTATGCTCTTCTGTAGAAAATAGCAGTACATAAAATTCATAGAGGACTCCTATATACAGAAAAGCTAAAACTACAGATCATGGCAGGACATGTCTCAAGTACACCTTCAGACACTGACACAGAGATACATTATTTTGTCACAAAAAAGAGATTAAGGCAACCTCATCAGCATAAGGAACATTTTACAGCACAGTTGAGATTCCAGGGTCAGTTTAGGTCAAGATTCCAGACTGACTCTGTGTCTCTGATAAGAACTTTTCACAAACTTATTAGGAATTTGATAAAATAACAATACCATGAGAAAACACTGAGGATTCTAACACTGAAAAACCTCACACACTGTAGCATCCAGCTGTGGCAATGCCCAGATCATTCCTCATTTCCAGTGTCATGACTGACTATAGTATTTTATTTTTTAAATTAAGTTCAACCCAAGTATAAATGGCACCAACTCATATTGGATATATTTAATCATCAACGTTCAAAACCATGTTTACCAAATAGAAAACCATACAAAGAAAGAAAAAAATGTTCACCACAAACAGAAGCATGTATAAGCAACATAACAGTGAAATACATTTATCCTCTTTGGAATAATTAATATATAAATACTTTGTATATTACATGAAGTAACTATTTCTTGAAAGGAACAAAGGATGAAGTAATCCCTCCACAGTTACCCAGTAACAAATATTGACCTCCTGTGAATTTCTCTAGATTTAACAATTTTTAATAGAGAAAATTCAGTGAAAAAAATGGACCCTAGCCCTTGGCAAAGCAGCTGAAAGCCTCTCGAGTCACTTCTATCATACAGCTAAGTAATGACTGAAGCAAAGAGGATAGAGTGTTCTTCGAAAAATATTTCATTTCTGACTGGGCAGTATTTAAGTTCTTGTTCTCCTTCAGAAAAATACTGGAATGTAGGTATGCAAATTAAATATAGTCCAGCTCTCTTCACTTACCTGAAGACAGTATGACTTCCAGGAATTTATAAAGCACTATATTAATAAAGCATTGTATCACACATAAATAACACACAAAAACAATGCCAATATATTTAGCCTTACTTCTCCATGTCTTAAAGGTGTGATAGCTCCTCTTGCTACGGCCATTCGGAACAATGTTTCTGTGGCCTGCATCAACAAACACACAGACAAATTCATTATTAAAAAGCAGACAACACTGCTCATGACAATTTGTTTCAACTTTTATAATACTTTTTATATTTTCTGCTACCTTGTAGTACCTATTTTACAATTAAATTGCTCCAGCAACTCCTTTAGAACAACCTGCAGTTTAGGCAAGTGTTTACTGCAAAGTCAGACGTGATTCTGGTCTCAGTCTAAGCAACACTTAAGCAGTACATGATCCCTCAGGCAACATCTCAGCTGTTCCAGAAGATGCTCTGAGCAGGTCAGAGATGCTCAGCCCCAGATAACGGTCCTCCAGAAGCTGTCATATAAAAGCAGGGTACTGTGGCAAAAATAGCTATATGGTATTTCACGAATCATGAAACTTAAAATTTTTAAATTGCTATTTAATAATATACAAGTAAATTGACAAATAAGTATGAAAAAACAGTATGATGCAGCGCTTTTCGTAAAAGCACCTAAGCTCCTTTTAACTCCCAGTAATGGTGGGACTACACAACATTGTCACATGTAAATGGCAGGGAACACAAATTTGGGGAAATCTTTCATCTTTAATTAGGCTGAATACCTTTCTGTGTTTTTTGCCCCATCCTTTCTTTAATCCAGTGAGACAACTGGCACATACTTCTGATACACATATAGGTTGCTGGCTTAATGCAGACTATAATAGGTTCTGTACCACCTCTCTTTCTACAAGCTGGTTAGAAAAAGGCATGAAAAAAAATCGCAAGTTACATGAATTCACGGATTGGCACATCAGCATACACATGAACAGATTTGTTTTAAAAACTTGATTCCATAGCAAACAGTGAAGCTGGTTTCAATTTCAATTGTAAAAAAACATGGTTTTAATATCTGGTTCTAATTAAAAGAATACCCTGACATTTAAGGATCTATGTTAAAGAGCAGTTAGCAGGCTGTTTGGAAAAAAAAAACAATAAAACAACCACATTTAGAAAATTTATAAATAAAAGCAGTTTGCAGCAGCTGATCATCTTTCTAAACAAAGAAATGATTGCATGACTTGCTGGGTTCCCACTACCACTACCTTAAGACAGCTGTATCTCAATAAATGTGATATTAAAGACATCTCTTGAGATTCCTCAGTCTTCCTAGAGACAGATTAAGTGGGGTTTACTCTTTCCTGAATAATCTTCTGCAAGAAAAGATCTTTTAATTACCGTATGTTCTCCCCACACACCTGTAAACGAATGTGTGCTCTTCAGAACATTGGGCTGCAAAATCTATTACTTCATTTACACCCACAAGGATGCAAGGCAGTGCTCCACCGTGATTCTGCTTCTCAAACCTTTCTTCTCTGAGAGATGAAGTGAACCTCACACAACCTCTTGTATTTCACAAAATTGGCTTCTTTCACCAACATTTTTAGACATGTTTCAACCAAATTGAGCATTCTGTCAATACAGCTAAGCTGCTTTTGTTTCTTTTGAAAACCACTGGTGTGTGTGACTTTCTTTTCTCATCTACTACTAAAAGATCTCTCCTAGTATACTTGTACTCACCTCATTAATGTCAGATGTCAAAACCATTCAGAAACAAGGAAAAATCACAGCAATAGCAAATGCAACATCACAGATGTCTTCTGGAGGCCACCCTTCACTAAGAAGATTAGCACTACAAACACAGCTTCCCACATAAACTGCATGGTGGCAATAAGGCCACCTATAGCCATTGACTGACAATGACAAGGCTGGAGAAAGAGCCTGGGGTTTCAGCATGCAAAACCCAAGAGGAGGCTTAAAGAAGTTCATCTTTCAAAACAGTAATCAGCCCAAGCTTACTCCTGGTGTAAGCTTTAAGGTGAAGGAGGTGAACACTGGCAGTAAATAGTTCAGGTCTGCATTCTTTTGACAAAGAAAACTAGGTGTGAACATGTGGAGATTCGAGTAAGGAAGAAGAACATGATGTAACCATTCAGAGTTTTTTAACACCTTCATAGGGCAATAACATCACACAGATTGATGATAAAAAGTAATCAACTAGCAAAATTTTGCCAGACTTAAATGTAAATTAATCTGTAACACTTCTGTTTTTTCAAAGCTTCAACACTGTCTTCAATTTCAATCTCCTGCCCTGCCAATGCAGAAACAAACAGAATTGTGCTGGAGCATGTCCAAGGAAGTGCCGTAGCCCCAGGAAAGGGTCTGGAACACAAGTAGTATGTGGAGCAGCTGAAGGAGCTGGGGGTGTTTGCCTGAGGAAAAGAAGGCTCAGAAGGGTCCTTATCCCTCTCTGCAACTGTCTGAAAGGAGGCTGTAACCAGGTGAGGGTCAATCTCTTCTCCCAGGTAACAAGTGACAGGACAAGAAATGGCCTCAAGTTGCACTGGGGGAGGGGATTGGATATTAGGAGAAGTTTCTTCCTGGAAAGAACTGTAAAGCACTTGAACACAGACTACCTTGGAAAGTGTTTGAGTCACCATCCCTGGAGGTATTCAAAAGACATGCCAATGTGGCATTTGGGGACATAGTTTAGTGCTGCACTTGGCAGTGCCGGGTTAATGGATGGACTCTCAAAGGCTTCTTTCAACCTAAATAATTCTATGATTCTATCTGCTCCTGCTAAGGTTCCCTTGAAACAGCTTGTCTAGGTCCATTTTCAGCATCTTAAAGATTGGAGGTCTCACAACCTATCTGATCAACCTGTTTCAGCATTTCACAACATTTTAAGTGACAAGCCCACAAAAAAATGCAATTTACAGATGACTTGTAAATTCCTTCTGCTTCCCAAAGAAACACAGCCCAATTCCTCAAATTCTCTCTAAGCAGTGGAAATGCTTTGTGCCAGACAAGTGGATGGCTATCCTACAGTTTCTAGCTGTGACGAGCCAAGACACAAGGAAATCCAAAAACACAGAACATCCTGCTGGCATCTCAGCTGCACATGTTGGATATGGGAATAAGCATAAGGGTGGAGAAAGTCAAAACATACATGAACAGCATTTTTTTTTTTTAATGTTAGAAACAAACTCCATCATACCTAATGCTGCATAAAGAATAGAGGGAAAAAAGCTGCATGAAGAACCACAACAGCAATATTAAAAAAAAACAACAATGTTCTTGAATACCTCATATATTTTCTAAAATTCTATTTATGATAATGTCCTGCTGAGAGCAAAAGGATCCCTACAGGACATCAAATTTACTTTGACTAAAAATTCAGTTTATTGAACACATCTTGCCTGACATATTCTTGATATGTAATTTCAAATCAACAGAAGTTACTGGTATAATAACAGTTAATATTCATGCTGCAAAATATTTTCATACAATTTGTTTCAATATTGACTAAGTCTATTAAAGACATTTGAGCTCAAAGGATTTAATTTTAAATAATATGCTAAAAGATATTAAGAATATTAAAATGGCAAGTTTATTTCATTGTATTAAATCTGCTAAAAATATCCAGAGTATTGCTCTGTCACAAATCATACTAGGCATAACTGCTCACTTAAGAAATAATAATAGTATTCTCAAATAAACTGCTGACTAGGAATTTAGCTAATTTTTAACTGTTTTTCACTAACTATTACAATATAATCAGATATTTTAGAAAGCTGTAAAAACTTGAGATTTATTTGCATTCAGTTCCCTGTGAATAAGCCTTCTACTCAGCCACGGGAGTCAGAGGTTCGTAAGAAGGCAAATTGTCAACACATGGTTTTAATGATCTCAGTGTGAAATAAATGTGTTGCCAAGATGATAGTTACTGAATCCTAAAATTGCTACTCGTTTTAAAGAATGTGCAGTGTGTTACATTATACGTGAGGTGAAACGGCAGCCCAGCGTATGCTAGCACTCTGTAACGCTGTGCAAGCTCTAATGTCATCTCCAGACAAAGATGGCCAACTGCTCCTGCTCCAACAAAGCAGTTGCTTCTGATCAAATTCTTTGCAAGTGGGTTAAAAAAAAAAACGGGGAAACCATTTGTATGAACCAGAACTAAAGTGGAAGATAATTGTGCATTATTGATGGAAATAGTAGGAAAAACAGAAAGAGAAACACTGCATTAGATTCCAGATGGCTTGAATTTTCTAGGTATTCACAATAACTTCAAGATAAAAATAAAATTATCTCACATAATAATCCATCAGAATAGTTACTGTTTCACCAAAGCTAAAACTGCAAATGCAAGCAGTGAAGAGACTGATCACACAAGTTAATGAATTTAGAAATGCACTTTTTAATCATCTGACAATTTTTGGCATCTACTTCTTCCATATGTGCATTAAAAAACCCAAAACAAAACAGGAAAGAAACCTCCAATTTAATTATTTAAAATGGTGCAAATTGTTTATAAGAATAAAAAAGGACACAAAAGACATTTTCTCATTCCTATTAGGCTAGCTGATCTTGAATAAAATAGCTAGCTGACAGCTCTGGCCTGTAAAATTTGTGCTTCTTTGTGAAAAGCAAATTATATGAAAAAAGGGTTTTGACAGTCTATCTGAAAGCATTAATAACAATCTTTCAACTTGATTATATATGAACTATTGTTATAGCCCTTATTAGCTAATCATCACACAACTTTTGAAAACAAGAACTAGGCCTAGAAAAAAATGATCTGGTGAGATTCAGAAGCAATAATGACTAGGAAAACACAGAAGTTTCTGATTTTTTTCCCTCAATTTTGTCCACAAAAGGTCAAATGCAAAGCAACTATCTGCATTTAAACCTTACTCAAAATGACAGATTTAACTGAGGAGCTTAATTATTGTTACAACTTTTGATGAAATTACCACAATACCAAAACAGAATGCATTGCCATTCTATATACTTTATAGATTTAAAATATTTTTAAGTATGTTAAAATACAATACTGAAGCTTTTAAAAAGACAGATATGTAAATTCCTACTCTCTGAAAAACCACAAAAGTCCAGTTAATTCCACTGTATAGATGTGAATTCCATATACCTCCATCTTTTACTTTGTTGAATGACTCTGAATGTCTCTGCTGTCAT